ATGATGTATCCTAATTTTCCATGATCACCAATAGCCATCTTGGCTGATTGTGCCCACTCTAAATAATTTGTACCATCAAGTTTTAATGTAGTAATGATTCCAGACCAAAAAATATCACTACTACCTCCAACACCTAGTCCCACAGTCAGTGGATTTCACCTCGGTATTCCAACTCTCCATCTTACTCCAAATAGTTCAACAGTAAGAAAAAAATAGATTGGAGACCTTCCAAAAACAATTTAATATCACACACACAGAAACCAACCCTTCCGGAAGAAGAAACCCTATCCAGAGAGAAATCTTTCTCCTCCTCACGCCTCCCAACAGAGAGAAGAGTGAATCAATCACTCCAGGAAGCTTAGAAAATTCCAAAAACTTAACCACCCTCTTCAGAATATCAAAAGAAAACTAACAATACCTAGGTGCCCAAGATTAGATCAAAAACAAAGAGTTCAACTTTTCTGGGACTCTTCCCCGCACTCCAGTTCTTCTTGATTTTGATGCCGAACAGTAGATCACCTTCCTGATGACTAGATCCCACCAAAAAAATCCAAGAACTGGGCAATATATAGTAGATCGATCAGTCCTTTGTTACTTCATGCAGTCAGCCGATCTACGGCTGCATGAGAATGCTTCAAGAACCCTAATTGGTGCTCTGATACCAAGTATGCTGAACTTAAAAAACATGAACAGAAAAGTGGTTTCTTGAAGAGAGAAGGAGAGAAGGAGAGAAGGAGAAAAAGAGAAGAAGAGATCCTGAAAGAAAAGAGAGCAATGATTTGTCCGCCCCCTTCACTTATTATTTATACTAAAAATAATAGAGCAGTACAAAGACAACTATGCCCTTATAGGGTGGCATAACATAAAACAGCCTATATAAGACCCAAAAACATAACAAAATTTGGACTCACATAACTACTGTGATCCTCACCTCCTATCTAATAACTAACATAAAACATCTACTTGGAAAAAAAACATAAAATTGATTAATCTTCAACAAGGATCAAGTTTACCTCGAGTAGGGGAGAGATCATGAACGAAGCACTAGCACCCAAAAACACGCATGGGTATGGGAAACATTGGAGCCTTGGGGAAGAGGAGCTGGTGAGGGGACCTATATTCCAACAACTAAGAGGGCGTCTTGTTGATAATATATGTGGCAGTCATAACAACATCCAACCAAAATATTTTTGGAACTTGCATCTGCAACAAGAGTCCTCGAGAAACTTCTAAGATATGGCGGTTTTTTCTCTCTACAACCCCATTTTGTTGGGTAGTTTTTGCACAGAAGCTCCTATGAATAGATCCACAAGAAGTAAAGAAGTTGGAGAGGTCACCATGAAAGTACTCCTTGGCATTGTCTGATTGGAAGACTTGAATCTCTGTTTGAAATTGGGTGTAGACCATTCGTTGAAAATCTTTCACAAGCTTAGGAACTTCTTCTCGTGAGCATATAGGGTACAACCCAAGTGAATCGAGAAAAATTATCAATAAAAGGAATAAAATATTTGTAGCCATTCTCAGTTGGAATAGTCCCAGGTCCCCAAACATTAGAGTACACAATGTGGAAAGGAAAATCCGATCTTTTATTACGTAAAGGAAATGAAGTTCTACAATGCTTGCTTAGTTGACACACTTGAGACTGAAAATCATTGACAAAAATAGACTTAAATAGATCTGGAAATAAGTACTTCAAAGACTTAAAAGACATATGACCCAAACGATGGTGCCACAAAAGGACTTGACTATTACTAGACTGACTTGAAGACTTTGAGACTGCAAGGCCAACTTTATGTTGTAGCACATAGAGGCCATCAACCACATTCCCTCTACCAATCGTCCTCCTAGAAGCCAAATCCTGAAAAGCACAAGAATCGGGAAGGAATGTTATTGAGCAGTTCAAGGCATGTGTAATACTACTAATGGATAACAAATTAATGGGCATTTTTGGCACATGTAAACATTTGATAAAGAAAGAGCAAAAGGTAAAGATATAGATCATCGACCAGCAATGGAGGAGAAGGATCCATCAGCTAGCCTTGCTTTATCTTTTTCAAAGAGAAGGGTATATGATTGAAACAATGTTGACTTACCAGTCATATGGTTGGAGGCACCAGAGTCAATAATCCACAGACTCTGGGGTATTAGTAAACACATGAAAAGTTGAAGCTAAGTTACCTGAGGAAGAGGCAAAGGAGGCAGAAGGTGTGGATCCAGAATCTGCCTGTCTAATAGCCCTACCATACTGCTCTAAATGGTCAAGGAAGGAGTTGATAATATCCTCCTTGGGATCAAAACTAGAGGGACAATCCTGAGACTCATGTGAGGCAATGTTGGCTGAGGTGAACTTCTTCTTGATTGGCTTCTTGTTCTGTTCTTGTTCTGATTTCTTGCTGAGTTCCTTTGCCCATTTTGGGTTTCCATGTAGTTCCCAACATGTCTCACGAGTGTGTCTAGACTTCTGGTAGTGAGTACAGCACAATTTATCCTTATCATCCACCTTTTTCTGATTTTCCCCCTTTCTTGCTGAATTAGTGTTACTTCGCACAGTTAAAGCTATGGTCTCCCCCTCGGGAGGATTCATAGCAAACCTCCTACTTTCGTCAGACTAATCTAAACCATACACCTCTTGGACAGACGGGAGATCCTTGCTGCCCAAAATTTGTACCCAAATAGGCTTATACATGGGGTTAAGGCCAAGAAGGAAAGAAAACACCCGCTGTTGAGAGACCAACTGTTTGTAGGCCTTGGCATGTTTCTCACTCTCCCATTCAATGGTTTGGTAGTAGTCCAATTCCTTCCAGACAGATGTGAGGGCAAAGTAGTAGGCTGATAAACTCCTCTCACCTTGCTTGCATGTTGAGGGTTCTGCTTGTAGCTGATAAATCCTGGCATAGTGTCTCTGTTCTAAGTATGTTGCCTTGGCTTGATCCCAAATTTCCTTTGCTGTCTCAAGCCCACATGAAATTTTGCTTGACAAATGGCAGCATTGAGGTCAAAAGCCAAGACATTATCATGCAATTTTCTTGGTCCCACTTATCATAATTAGTAGTACGAGCCTTAGGTTCCTTTGTCTTCCCATTTATATATCCAGCCTTACCCCTGGCAGTAATGTACAACTGCATCTCCTTGGACCAAGCTAAATAATTTCTGCCGTCCAAGGGGGTAATGGTCATAGGAAAATTTACTGTCTCATAACCACCAGTCATTCCTCCTTGATGTGAGGTGGTTCCCGAAGTTGCAAAATCTCCAGAATTCCTGGGAGTCAAATGTAGGCAGCACACAAACTTATCATAGTCCTTTCCCAACTAGGCTAACACAAAAAGCTACTAGATTAGAGCACAGGCCTTGCTGTCACAGATATTCACAGATCTGATAGGCCCCTTCTTAAGGCAATAAGAACTACAGAAACACATTTAAAGAAGGCTGCTGCACTCTATCAGATCGACCTACAGGTTCCTTAAACATGAAGATTATTGGGTCTTCACACCCACAAAGAGGGACAAACTCCCTTTATACCATTCGGTCAAGAATGGAAGTTTAACCAGTTCTTGGTTTCAACACCAGGAACTAAAAAAAGTGATTTTGACTTCTGTCCTTATTCAGTCCAGGGGTTTCTATCGATTCCAACTTAGAAGCAAGGAAAAAGCACAGAAAGAGAACACTGACCTCTTAAGAAACCTTAATCAGTCATCCACTGGTCTCTGGGTGTCGTATAAATCAGTTGCAGTCCAAGAAGCTGGCAGGAACTAGAATCGAACAGTCTTTAGGTGGAGCTCGCACCTGTCTCTTCCATTCTCAGTATAGAGGAGCAAGGAAGAGCTTCGAATAGCAGGAGAGGATTTACAGAGCACTGTCCCACTCTGATACCATGTTTCAGTCAATAGAACAGTGGATGAAGAGAAGAGAAGTGGAAGAGAGAAGAGGAGAAGAGAGAAAGAGGATGAGAGAGACACAAGATGATGCTGGCGGTGCCAACCTTTTTTATTATATATACTAGGGCGACCATACAACTTAAAAGAAAGGAGAAAAAGACCAAGTGCCCCTTGCGGCATGCACCTAATATTACATCAAAAGCCTAGGTCATGATAGGGTTTCTTGGAAGACAAAAGTGAAGAAGAGAGAATAAGAAAGAGTTGTGTTCTAGTCTGGTTCGCCCTCTTCCTCTTTTATCTCTTTATGAAGCACTTCTCCTAATCAAATTAGGAGATTGCCCAAATCTAATTTGGATCAGGACTCTATTAAGAGATAAGCCTTGTCCTCTTAAGAGGATGGGTGCTCAATACCCATTTTCAAATCCAGATTTGACACAAAGCACATGATACCTAGTTGTTTTTCCTCCCTAGGGGATTTCAAGGGATAAAAAATTATACTCAAATGTTTGAATAATAGCAATTAAAGCAGAATCCACACCAAATTGCTATGGAAAGAATGTACAAAAGAATGGGGGGATTCAAAAGAATATCATTCATCAAATAGTATCTTATTAGTATGATGATTACTTTATGTCCTTGTTTTTTTTTTTTGATGAATATTTATGTCCTTGTTTTTGAAACCTGGCACTAGTAGCTGATAGGCTAGGAGAATCTAGAGGGGGATTTTTTGTTGTTGGAGAGATGATGACTGATAAGTTAAATTCATGCTTTGGAAAAATGTAGTAGGTTGTGCAGGTTGAATAGGATGGGAGATTGGGAGGTGGGGGCTTCCATAATATAACTTCATGAATACCTCTTAATTTAGGAAGTGGTTGTTGAAAGGAAGAGGAAACTGAATATTGTAGACTGCCTAGAACTTAAAGTTACTTTGTTCTTCAATTATACAAGTTTGTCAATTTACAAGTGGGTAGTTGGTTCCTTGCATGGAATAGAGATTATGTTTAGTATAATTTTGGTAGTGTGTAAGAATATTGATGAGATTGAATCTTAATATCTCTCAAGTCTTAACAATATGCAGTATGTGTTACATGTCATGAGTAACTATTTCCTCATTGATGATTGTAGGTATATATTTCTTGCTGATAAGGTAGAAGTTCATGACATCAGTAAGCAAACATGCTTTTTCGTAATCCTTGGACCTAAGAGCAACCAAGTACTATTCTGCTTCCATCTATATTTTTGAGAATATTTCTTTTAGCGATTTTAAATTTAACAAAGTTCAAATATTTGTTATTTTGATGCATTGAAGGTGATGGAAGATCTGAATGTTGGTGATCTCATTGGACAGCCATATGGAACTCATCAACATTATAGTGTAAGCTTCAATAGTTTCCAATGAATTAACTTAACTGGTCACTGAGTTCCAATTACTGAGTTTTGCATGCTTAACTGTAATTATTCCATGCAACTCTTTTAATATTTCATATTCTTTGAAAACTTTCAGGATGACAAGTTTGAGAACATGGAAATGAGTCTTGAAACATCCAATTTGTGCAATAGATATAAATAAAATAAATTAATAAGTTCTGAAGGATAAGTCCACATCCAGTCTAAGGAGCAAAGCAAGGCATATAGCGGGGGTATGCGACAGGAAAACGCGTGAGGACTTAGGGAAAGTACCATGTTTAGTACCAAGTTTCCTTATGCTCCTCCAGTGTCCACTTGTACTGAGCTGGCATAACTAAGACACTTTTCTAACAAGAGAATATTTTCAAATCATGTGTAATCTGAATGACAGACATCTATAAAAGGGGTGGCAGAACATCCAACCAACAACAAATTGTAATAACATGCAACTATAAACTGCCATAACAATCCCACTCTCCAATTCACTTAGCTTTCCAGAGCACTTTTTCATGAGGAACTTCATCTTCTTCCCTGGGAAACCCTAATTTTCACACACTGCAACTCTGCAACTCCCCTGTAGAATCAGCCATTCCTTTCCTTATCCTCTGTTGCAGGGACCTGTAGACCTACAGTCCCTGCCAATCGCAGCCTCCTAATCCTTTTGTAGCAGTATCACTTGCTCCAACTTTCAGAACTCTATAGACCACCCACACATTATTGCCTTACACCATGTTCTCTTATCTGGCCACGTCATTGGCAAGCACATTTGCTGATATGTAGGTCCATATAAAACTTGCATTTAGTTCTGATGCTAAGGCTCTTAGCATCAGGATGTATAAGAGAAAGGGTAACTTTCATTAACAAAAGGAGGAAAGGATATACAGGATGTATAAGAGATACATCTTTCCAGTATCAGGCAAAAAAACAAAAACCTAAAAAACTTTCCCAACCCATTAAAGAGGAAGCTCTATATTGCTGTACAAAAAGTCCCTACCCACCCCAGATTTAGCTAGAGCATCTGCCACTGAGTTCAAGTCTCTTGGGATCCATCTGAAAACACAGGCTAACTGCGATTGGATAACTCTGATTTCACTGAGCTGATAAGAGAATCTCCAAGGCCCCTCCTGGTGGTTTAGCATCCAGCCAATTACCACCTTTGAGTCTCCTTCCACCACCACTGAAGAAATATTCAGGGATTTTACGCACCTCAACCCCACCAGCAAGGCCTTCACCTCAGCTTCTACAGCTTCAGCCTCCCCAATGGGCCCACTATAGGCCCAGAGTTGAGTGCCTGAGGAGGTGAGAATTCTGCCACCTATCCCTGCCTGACCTTTGTAGTTAAGTCTGTTTTGGCAACTGTCATCAAACTGGAGAATGAAATCAGTAGGGGGGTCTGGGGGCCACAGGAGCTGAGTGAACTCTTTCAAGACTTGGAGAACTCAGAACCAGCCCCAGATTTCTTTCTAAGTCTTCCTTTGAAATGCCTCCGAACATACTAGATACCTTTTGCCAGGAATTAATCCAGAAAATCACTATTCCTTTTAATTCTTCCAAGGAAGAACACTTATCTTCAAAGATTCTTTTGTTGCACTCCTCCCAAATACACAAGCAAACGCATGGAGAATAGTCTTCCCATAAAGCGCACCTCTTTTACTCAAGATACACCCAGGCCATTGCAAAAGAAGGTCAGACATTGAGGTGGGGTCATAAAGCCCCTACCCAAGAGGCTAATTGGACGAATCGACCACGGTCATTTGATCCCAATTGGAAGATCAAATGACGACCATTATGAAAGATTTTCCTTATTTGAGGGGCTTCATGACCCCTCCCCAGGAGTCTAGGGAGAAACCTGAAAAGCTCTGATAAATTTTCTTCTCTTAAGGTTAACTGAGTCCAAAATCCCCTACCTCTCTCGGTGATTGAATAGGAGAAACCTCCTTTTCTATCAAGAGAACCTTCAAAGTCAAAAGATTTAGCATCTATTTGAACAAAACCTTTCCCCAAATTAGATGCCATCTCACTCTGCGTAATTAAACTACCATTTTGACTCCTACAAAGGTGAGTTGAAGCACCGAGCACGTCTTCTATCCGGCCATCACCATCACTTGTCACTCGACCTTTCCTTTAACACATTGTGCATCTATAAGTGGCAATCAAGTAGTTCCAATATTGCCATGGTCCTTGTTGTGTTGCAGCCATTCCACCACCACTTTTTATTCCCTCTCAAGTTTCCTCAAATTTACGTTCTTTGCCAATCTTAAGCCTTGCAGTGCTGCTTACAATTCATCCCTTATGGGGTTCCCTTCTCCTATAGGACCTGGGTATATAGCAAAGATGTTCCCATTCTCCAATGACTCCTCATATAACTGATGCTTTAGGGTTTCCAAAGCTGCATCCATAAAAAAATTCCTCTACTACTATTGGTGGGATCCAATGCAAAGAGACTACAATCCTATGAATAGTATTATCTTCTATCACACTCCACTCTCTGACCTCTCAGCATATCCTTGGTTAAAAAGAAAAAAAAGCTTAAAGGAGCTTTAAGGTTTTGATCCAATCCTCAGCTTTTATTAGTATGCATTCGTTGACCAATTCTTGAGTCCTTTTCCTTACTTTAAATATTATATTATTCTTTTCCTCCCATATCATCCATAGAGTTGCAGCCCTCAAACACCTTAGCATAATCTTGGCTCTCTTGGTGGACGAAGGAGAGGAGCCCTTGAAAAGGGATTAAATGTCATCAGGCCCTCTCCACCTACTCAAAAAAGATAAAAAATCCACTTCCCAGAAGAAAGAGTAAATTTATCACAACAAACATTTTTTGGGGGTCAATTTGACAAAGGTGATCCCTCAATAGGAGTTCTTAATTATCATCGTCATCAACATCATATTATTATTATTATTGTTGTTGTTGTAATTTTCCTTTATTTATATGTAGTAACTTGATGCTAATGAGAAAAGTGTTGACAAGAACATGCTTTTACCACTCTAAAATTGTGAATCTAAATTTTAGGAAATGAAACACCTTAAATATGGAGAAATGAATACCTTCAGATCAAGGTTCAAAGTATTGGCAGAGGTGTATCGATACTTAAAATCATGCGCTTTTATGTTTCTTTTTAGTTATTTTTCAAATTTTGGTTTTTATATATATTTTTCATTAAAATAGGGGTTCTGGAAACACCTGTAAACAGGTGTTTTGGGGACCAAAAGATATGATACGATACACCAAATACGGGGCATATCATATCAATACTTTGAACCTTGCTTCAGATAGATAAGAAGTATAAGAAATAGGTAATCAGCAACCCACTGTTTAAAGGACACCCTAGGTACAAGGCAGAAACAGATCAACCAAATAGATGAATGTGAAATGGTATAAGAGGTGACATATTGAATAGCAGTACTTCATAATCAGTGTTGCACATTAAATATTTTTATCTGCATTAAATATGTTTCTATTGCAGAAAAACATTATCTGCAGTAGATGTTTCTATTGCAGAAACATATTATCTGCATTAATGAAGTAATGAATCCACTTTTCTATTGCATTTCAAGATTCTTATTCAAGAATGCCCATAATGCCTTTTTTAATCTCATTTCCGAATAAATCTTCTGCATGCCAATTAATGTCCTTGTGAAAAACACATGCATCTTGATAGGGAAATTTTAAGATTGTCCTTTAATCTGGAGAAATACAAAACAAGGTAATGATAATTCTTTTTGAAGCTTATTGTTTTAAACTCCAAAAGAAATACAATTTGAGTCTATCCATTTACAGGTGAATGGGATGCCAATCACAGTAGGTGTTGGAAGTGTTGTCTCTCAAGAAGGTTTCTCATTGTTGTTGTCACCAGCAGCTGCTGTCTCAGTCTGGAAAACTCTCATAGGTGCTGGTGCCATCCCCATGGGTGCTAATGCATGGGAAAGATTGAGAATCTTGCAAGGTATTCATCTTGTGACACTACTTTGTAGCGACCAGTTGAATGCATTTACCAATTTTGACCTAAGTAGTACCTTCTTTTTTACCTGAAACTTCTTTTTCATATGCCAAAATAATATGTAGGAAGGTGATTGGAATCCATTGATAATTGTATAAAGGGAAACAGCTTTTAGAGTAAATATGAAAGACAGTAGACATTGATTGCATAAAGGGAATGGGTTGAAGAAGAAACTCAAAATCAACCTGATAGATTTATTTGCTTGTAGTGATCTAATATAGTGTTTATGCTTACATGATTTGTGAAAGACAGTAGACACCAGACATAATCACCAAAGCAACAAATTTTCTTTCATGATGCATATAATTTCACACATGATTTAAGTGCTCTCTTAGAAATATCTGGTTGACAAAGTTGGCAACATTCCATTTTTATGAATGCATTGTCATTGATCATACTTTAATTATTCCCTTTCTGGATAATTGCCACTCTACAGGAAGGCCTGCTCCAGGTAAGGAGCTCACAAATGAATATAATGTCCTAGAGGCTGGTCTTTGGAATTCAATCTCCCTAAACAAAGGTATCTTGTTATTTTCTAACATATAATTGAAAATGTAATATGATGATGACTTTCTCAGTATATCTCCTCAGGATGTTATAAGGGGCAGGAGACCATTTCTAGACTAATCACATATGATGGTGTCAAGCAGCGACTGTGGGGACTTCATCTATCAGGCCCAGCAGAACCAGGGAGCCTCATCACAGTTGACGGGAAAAAGGCAATCTCATTTTTCTTTCCTATCCATCTTAATGTTTTCTTTGCTTAAATATTTGAAAAGAAAGTAACATTGTAAGCAGGTTGGGAAGCTAACAAGTTATACGATTGGAAGAAATGAAAATGAACATGTTGGCCTGGGATACATCAAGAGGAAAGCTGCTTCAGCTGGAGACCAGACAAGTATTGGTGATGTGGTGGGTACAGTGGTGGAAGTTCCATTCCTTGCACAGAAATCTCCTTTAACAAGTTCATCAAGTCCTTGACTTCCAACTGAAACACCATTGAATGTAATAGCTATGAACCTTCTACATGTCCTTTGTGTACATAAATAACTAGGGGTGGCAATTTCTCACCCAATCCATTGAACCCACCCAATCTATCCAACCTGCCTATTTAGCAGGTTTGAAATGGGTTGAATCACCCACTGGATTGGATTGGGTTGGGTTGGGTTGTGGATATCCATTGAATTAACCACTAATTACTTAATCATTTTTCTTTAATTTTCTTTATATGAGTGAAACAATTTATATTTAATGTATTAATTTTCTAATAATTATTGATTAAAATTAGTTTCAGTTTAAAGTCAACATAATTCACACAAATCGACATGAATCCAAATTCAACCAAATGGCCCAATTTACTTTGATTTGATGTTGGCACAAATGACCCAATTGTACCCAACTTGAATCAACCTAAACAATCCAACAATTTAGACTGGCCCAATCTAGGTTGGTTAGGTCCAACTTGACTCAACCCGATTTAGACCAATTTGGGCTGGACCAACTTAACCCGGGTTTAGATGGCATGCTTGACCTATCTTGATATAATTATGTCGACTGGCCTTGTCTCAAATATGAACCCATGCCCAACCTAATCTAGATCCGTCCGATTCAAACCAACTTGGTTCAAATCTGAATGGGCACGATTGACTCAATTCAATCTAGTTTGGGTCAATTGGTCTGGCATGTATCCAAGCGATTTGAAAATGATCCGACTTAGCCTAGTCTTGGTTAGACCAATGTGACCTAGGTCTAGATGGCATGGTGACACATCTTGATTTGGTTTGGGCCGGATGGCTCGGTTCCAAATATGAACCCATGCTCGACTCGATATGGACAAGTTTGGCTCAAACCAACCCATTTCGAATCTGAATGGGCACAATCGACTTAGTTTGATTTGGTTTGGGTCGACTAGTTTGGTTTGAATCTAAATGATTTGATTACTTGATGCAATTAGCCTGGATATGAATCTAGTTAGATGGTTGAAGTTGGTTTGACCGTTTCAAACCCGAATAGTTTGGCCAAACCCGAAACTTGAACATAGTCAAAAGGCTCTAAATGATTAATTGTTTTTAATTCTTGTAAAAATAATATGCATGGGTAATTAATAGGTTAGTAGGTTAGCAATCAAATGGGTTGGATTGAAACCAATTGCCACCGCTAATAACAATAGCAATTTTCTAGAGGTTTCGTTTCTCTCTGTTTAGAGAGAGCCTCCCTCTCGAGATTTCCTTGAGGTTTTACTTTCTCAGGCTTGCGTTGTGTTGGAAAATGGAATCATTGTAACTTTGGAGGAGAAGCTCTGAGGCGCGTCTGAAGATACTGTCTTTAGAATGTTATTTGCCCCCACTCAGTTTCACTGAGTTTGTTGTTGGGTTACAGACAAATCTGTTCCTAAGATATAACAAAGCTTTGGGCGAGAATCTGCAACTAGCAAAGTTGAAGAATTTTCGGAGAAACCTTCTGTGAGACTGTAGCAGACCGAACTGAGAGAGAGAGTGAATTTCGAAAATGTGTTTTTGAAGTCTGATTCATGCTCTTTAAATAGTTTATGAAGAAGTATGAAGAAATGGTAGGTGCTGGTTTAGAGAAGGCACCTTGAATTGTGCCTTTTGATCACACCCGATCGAATCATGACCGTTGATCTCATCAACGGTGATCAATGGTCAGCATCGCACCAAAACCAAAGCCGCTCTTCGCGAGTCACGTGAGTGCGAGCAAAGTGTGAGCAAAGTGCGTCTCTAAAGCGCCTTATTGCGCCGTACACATACGCGCACACGTGTGTGCGTGCGTTGCGCGGTATCAAACCTTCGTACTCTCCTCTACTATTTCTGTGCAAATCAGCTCCTATTAAAATACTGAAAACAAAGCTTATAATTTTTCAATGTGGGACAAATTCAAAACTGGGTTTTGTAAGAGAAAAGCTAATTTTTCAATCAAGTTTGTAGGTGCAATTTCTCATGTAATTGACCAATGAAACCCATTAGATTTAATCTTATGAGATTAAAATCCAACAATCCCCCACATTGATTGATCAATTACATAGTTCTCTCTCAATCCAAACTACTATGACACAATTATGCATACAAAAGGTGTTTATCAACTTAAACCTTTTGTTAGTATTGATATATCAGAGCCGTTTCAAAGTTATTGGTGGTAAGACCTTAAACCAATTACTCTCAAGACAAACCGGAGACACCCATACACACAATAATGTCCAGTCTCTACAAGAGTTTCAAGTTTCGCTCAGCACTGTTATGGTTATGTGCTTCTTTCTTGGTTTCATGAACAATCCAGAGAGCAAACCCAAACTCTCATGAGAAGCGGCACCATTTCTATGTTCACATAGGTGAAGCTCCACTATGTATTTCGTTATTTGACACATTTCAGAAATTCATTAAGAGTTTAACTCAACCTCTCATCATAACGGACAACACTATTTATGTTGTGATGGGAAATTTCTCAATGTCATGCTAACAATCACATTGTTGTAACTTGTTACCCATTAAACCCTATGTTGATGGTTTTTCAGTTTAGGTTGGGTTACCATTACAGGTGACTAAGTAAAGGGTTTTAATCCCATCTCTTTGGTTGTCATTCTTATCAATTCTCTGGCCAAGCCCTTGGTAAGAGGATCAGCCAAGTTTTTACTTGACCTCACATAGGTTATAGTGATGATTCCATCTTGAATCAGTTGCCTAACAAATTCATGTCTCAGACTTGTATGTCTAGGCTTACCATTGTAGGTACCACTATAGGCTCTTGACAGAATTGCCTCACTATCACAGTAAATAGAAATTGGAGGCATAGGACTAAGCCAAAGTTTTATATTCAATAATAAATTCCTAATCCGTTCAGTCTCTTTTCCAACAGCCGCAATGCTATGAATTCGGATTTCATGGTTGAGTGAAATATACAAGTTTGTCTCTTGGATGCCCAAGAGATCGCACCCCCACCAAGGACGAAAATCCATCCAGAGGTGACTACAATGGTAAGCAATTGCATTCCATCTTGAATCAGTTTATCTTCATTACCAATAATCCAACTTGTATTAGTGTACCCTTCTAGTACAGCTGGATAATCACCGTAAAACAAGCAAAGTTCCAAGGTTCTCTTGAGATACCCAAGAACTCTCCCAATTGCCTTTCATTGCTCTGCACCGGGATTACTTGTAAACCGACTAAGTTTACTTACTACAAATGCAATATCAAGTCTGGTACAAAGCATAGCATACATCAAGCTTCCTACTGCACTAGCATACTCAAGTTGTGCAATTGCTCTATTAGTATTTTCTACTAGCTTTATACTAAAATCATATGGCGTGTTATATTCTTTAAACCCTAAATGCTTAAATTTCTCAAGTATTTTCTTAATATAATGTGATTGGCTTAATGCATAACCCCTACTATGCTTTTTAACTTTTATTCCCAAGATGGTATCTACTCCTAAATCTTTCATCTTGAAGAGAGAGGATAAATAGTTTTTAGTTTCATTTATGCCAACCATATTTGTACCCACAATAATAATATCATCAACATAAAGACATACAATTACTCCATAATTTTCAGTGAATTTTGAGTAGATGCATCTATCAGCACTATTATGTTTAAAACCAAAAGTTAGAATACAAGAATCAAATTTCTCATGCCACTATTTAGGTTCTTGTTTTAATCCATATAATGATTTAACCAGTTTATAGACTTTCTCTCATTTCCAAGAAGAACAAATCTTTCTGGTTGTTCCATATAAACCTCTTCATTTAAATCACCATTTAAGAAAGTAGTTTTAATATCTATTTGGTGAATAGATAAGTGATAAATGGATGCTAATGCTATGAGTGTTCTAATAGAATTTGTTCTAGCCACTGGTGCATAGGTGTCAAAGTAATCAATCCCTTCCTTTTGACTAAATCCTTTGGCTACCAATCTAGCCTTAAAAATTTGTACAGTTCTATCAGTGTTGTATTTTCTTCTAAACACCCATTTACATTTTATTAGTTTTAATCCTAGAGGCAGGTCTACTAGTACCCATGTGTTATTTGACATTATTGAATCTATTTCATCATTTATAGCTTCCTTTCAAAATGCAGTATCTCTAGAGGTCATGGCCTCACTGTAGGTTTTTGGGTCATTTTCAATATTTAAGACAATAGGTATCTTATTTAAAATCTTTTCTCTATCAGCCTCAACCAAAAATACAATTGACTAAGTAGAGATAAAATCTAAACCTAAGTGTTTCTCTGTTCTTTGTCTTTGACTTCTTCTAAGTCCTATTGTAGGTGTTACAGTTGTGTCATTTCTTCTTTCAGTCTCATTATTATCAATAGGTATTAAGATCTGAGTTTCTCTCTCAGGTTCTTTGTTATTTTCTGTGGATTCATTTTCTATAGATTTAGAACACAGTTTATTTTCAAAGAATTCAACATTTTTAGTTTCAATTATTATGTTGGACTCTAAGTCTAGAAGCCTATAGGCTTTGCTATGTTCTGCATATCCAACAAACATACTTCTCTTAGCTCTGAGTCCTAACTTGGTTCTTTTAGAATCTGAAACTCTATAATATGCTAAGCACCCCCACACTTTTAGGTATGTTAAATTAGGTTTTTTTCCTATTCATAATTCATTTGGGCATTTGTTATTAATTCTAGAAACAATTCTGTTATGTAAACGATATGCTGTTAGGAGTGTTTCCCTGCACAGGTTTAAGGGTGCATTAGCTTTTAACAACATGCAATTTATCATTTTTGTAAGTGTTCTATTTTTCCTTCCGGCCAGGCCATTCTGTTGAGGGTATAGGAAGCAGAACACTGATGTACTATTCCAATTTTTTCACAGAAAGAATTAAACTCATTTTTAAAATATTCAACACCCCTATCACTTCTAAGGATTTTAATTTTATTTTTTAGTTGATTTTCAACTTCAGTCTTATACAGTTTAAACATGTCAAAGGCTTCATCCTTAGTTCTCATAAGGTAGACATAGGTATACCTAGAAAAGTCATCTATAAATGTTATGAAGTATCTCTTACCTCCTTTAGTTAATACACCAATGAGTTTACAGATGTCAGAATGAATTAGTTCTAGAAGTTGAGAATTTCTCTCAATACTAGGGAAAGGTTTCTTAGCAATTTTAGATTTTACACATATCTCACATTTTTCAGTTGATTCATTACTGTAAGCAATTATACTAAGTTTGCTCATATTCTTTATGAATTTAAAATTCAAGTGTGCTAATCTATCATGTCATAAAGAGAAAGA